GGTTCCACTCCTGACAGTTCATCTCCTTTCTCTCTCGCCGCACGTTTGGGGCCGAGGGCCTCACTCCGATGAGCCTGTTCCTCGAGTTGAAGATCCGTTTCTGCCTGCCCATCTCTCCATGCCTCCTTTCGGCCAGGTCAATGTCCTGCGCCAGGTCCTTGGGTAAGGCGACCTTCATGGCTCTTGGAGTCGCCAAGAACTCGGGGCGGGGCGGCGGTTAGGGCCCGCAAGTTAAGATGACAATCAAGTAAAACAAGCTGTCGCTTCGCCCTGCCTTGCCACGACTGACCGGGAATCCAGTTGTGTTGCAGCCTGGCTGTGCAACTGTGGCCAGACATCGCCAAGGGAACGGAACGTCCTGTCAGCTCCGGTTGCCAGGGAACAACGCCATGCTCGCTGCCTCTCGCGAGACTAAACTACACAACGTCAGGAGATTCCCGCTCTTTCCCGGCAAGCGTGTGAGGTGGCGGCTGAGGCTCGGTGATGGGTCACCTCCACCTGCTGCTTGTGGAGAACTTCAAGTCGTGGCGGGGCCACCAAGTCATCGGCCCCTTCAAGAAGTTCACCTGTATCATCGGCCCCAATGGCTCCGGTAACTGTAGGCTCGCGGCGGGACCCCAAACGCTCCGACCGCCCACTTGGTGGCGTAGTGTATACTGAGCACAGCCCAGGGGACATGGGCGCCATGCGGCCTGCCGTCCGGGCCGCGGCTGCTGCTGTCGGACCCGACCCTCGGTGCTCCCCAGATCCGACTCCATTCTCCACAGAGCACAGAGCCGCCCCCCCGCCCCCCGAGACCCACAGAGCGTAACCCTCAACAGCACAGAGCCGCCCCCCGAGACCCACAGAGCGTAACCCTCAACAGCACAGAGCCGCCCCCCCCGCCCCCCGAGACCCACAGAGCGTAACCCTCAACAGCCGGCCCTACAGACCTTAAAGACACGCCCACAGATGGCGGGCCCAGAGTCATTTCCATTATGGTCACATACCACGTGCTTAATTCCTCCTATTTTTAATTGTGACAGCACGTGTAGAATGTTGTCTACCAAGGAAGCTCATTAGGGACTCGGGGTCTATATTCTTATGGGGGGCTGCTCATGTAGGCACCCTCTACCTAACTCTACCTAAATTCCAGACCTCAGAAATCAAGCAAGTGTTCAGCATATATCGTATTGTTTGCATAAGCAATTTAGTCCCAGTGAGATACTCTTAACTAGGAATGGGGGGAACTCATGAGATCAAATTCCCAAATACCAGTCAATCTTGTGAGCAAGCATTTCAAAGGAGAGCAGCAGTCTTCAACCTGATTAACACTTCTCATACTAATGGCCTTATATTTAGCAGTCTTGGTTCAAGTTAGCTATTAAAAATCATTTTTTTTTTAGTACATGAGGGTTTAGTGCCGCACCAATACTTTAGGTGATAATTTCTATGTTTCTGAAATAGATAGAATGGAACCTCAGAGAAGCTAGGGTCAGTGATAACGCCTTGGTGATATACCTAACAAAGGAAATCTGGGATTTAGATTCTTAAATTTGGACCCCTTTGTTCTGTGCCATAGTGGTCTACATAGAATTGTTCAGCCACGTGTACTTTGGAGATTGACAAGACCATTGAGACTGCATTTC